ATAAAATTTGAAGCGATAACAAGAGACCTAAATTCTAGGTACTTAGAGTTCTTTACAAATGAAATAGAACAGGACATTCAATCAAATATTAAATACTATAAATTCAATGTAAACATAGTTTATACACAGCGACGCGTGTAAGCGTTTATAAAATACAGGGCCAACAAAAAATGATAGTAAAAACAATGGAGAAATATGGAAACAACAGTATTGGGAAAAGTCAGAGGTGAAAATATTAATTGGATATGTGTCCAAAGAGAGAAAGAGATTCGAAAAAAGATATTCATAATTCCATTTTTCAAAATCGAAATATATCAGTAATTTCTGATTTTGAAAGATCACATTTTCTGCTGACCCTGTATGTAATTAAATGACTAATTTTATTATTCAACAATATAATATCTAACTATATCTTTAATGATAGCGACAAAATAGCTAATCTTGATTTACTGATGATTTCCAAAGTTTTAAGTTTTCTAGAATCCTACTAGAAGAAATTTTCACGAAAACATCCATTCGGTACGGTTCACATTCACTGGTATTTTTTCCACTACTACCTATACAGTGTGTCCCACTTACCATGCTCACCATGGGTATCTTTTTAACGGTGAGAGATACGAGGTCGGTTAAATGACACCAAATGTGGAGTTTGTCAAGGCCAACTATAATGTGAAGAAATATTTTGATAAAATCTATTCGTTTTTGTTTTGTACGCAAAAAACAGATTTTGATCATTTTCATGTCTCCTCCGTAACTTCTTTATTTATGAAAATATTCAAATAGGAATTTCACATTCTCATGGCAGTTTTTCAAAGTGATTTCGAAAAGAACATGAAATTTATACCAACTCTTCTAGAATTTGAGATATCAGCACCAACTTTAGTTTTTCAAATGTAGGTCATAGCTCACTATGACTTAGTTACAAATAACTTTTTTTTTCTCTTACAGATGATATGTCGCAGTAATAGTTTTGTGTTGATAACAACAGAGTTTTCGTCCTTTATACAAAAACAAAAAATTATTTGGAAGCCGCCATCTTGAATTTATAAATTTCAACAAAAAAATCATGATCTCCGACCTCAAAAACCCCCACTTACCAATTTTGAATGGAATCGGACCAAATCTCGTCCGCCATCTTGGAGCAGCCATTTTTTTTCATTTCAACAAAAATTCCATAATGTATTGTCACCGAAATTATGAACACCTGCCAAATTTCAAGTTAATCGGAGTTATGGAATTTTTGTTGAAATTAAAAAAAATGGCTGCTCCAAGATGGCGGACAAGATTTGGTCCGATTCCATTCAAAATTGGTAAGTGGGGGTTTTTGGGGTCGGAGATCATGATTTTTTTGTTAAAATTTATAAATTCAAGATGCCGGCTTCCAAATAATTTTTTGTTTTTGTATAAATGACGATAACTCCGTCGTTATCAACACAAAACTATTACTGCGACATATCATCTGTAAGAGAAAAACAAGTTATTTGTAACTAAGTCATAGTGAGCTATGACCTACATTTGAGAAACTAAAGTTGGTGCTGATATCTCAAATTCTAGAAGAGTTGGTATAAATTTCATATTTTTAGCGAAATCACTTTGAAAAACTGTCATGAGAATGTGAAATTTCTATTTGAATATTTTCATAAATAAAGAAGTTACGGAGGAGACATGAAAATGATCAAAATCTGTTTTTTGCGTATAAAACAAAAACGAATAGATTTTATCAAAATATTTTTTCACATTATAGTTGACCTTGACAAACTCCACATTTGGTGTCATTCAACCGACCTCGTATCTCTCACCGTTAAAAAGATACCCATGGTGAGCATGGTAAGTGGGACACACTGTATATTGCTAGTGGGCTAGTGGTGCAAAAAATTTAATATAAACCTTGGTAGTAAAGAATATTATCACCACTGGACCTTATACCCCTCGGCTGACGCCTCTGGATATAATCTTGGTCCCTGGGTAATAATGATAACTATTTATATATCTATTTATATATCTAGGGAGCAAAGGTATCAATTTTTGCCTCTTTTGTATTAATTACATTCAATTGTCTCGTGAAAATTCCTTCAGTCTATATTTTTATCAAATTCATTGTATAATGGTAAGGTCTTATTCTGGCGGGATTCAGTTTTAAGCAAAATGGTCCCTATAATTTTCTAAACAGTAAACGGTACAGTTCTTTGAGTTCCCAGTGGCGAATTCAAGAATTATCAGATAGGGATAAAAAACAGGTGAGAAACCGTTATTAGTAAAAATATACAGCTGATGGGTGATTTTTTTGCCAATCCGGGAATTTGAAGATTATTCTCCATATTGCTGAAAAATATAGCAAGTTTCAATATATTCATATTGATTACATTTAGGAGAAATACCCCCTGCCCCTTCCTTGATTCCTGGATTCGCCACTGTCAGTTTTCCTAAAGGTCTGTATTCATCAAAAGCACCAGCTATTTGTTATTCAAACACATAACGCTGCATAAATGAATAGAACATCAACGTTTTTCAACATTTAAACAGCACATAGTCGTTTATAAGTAACATTGAGAATGAAACAACATTCTGAACAATAACTAACGCTCTCAGAGTAATGCTTTCAACAGACAACATTTGAAAAATAAATTAAGTAAATAATACTGACAACACGCACATGAAAATAGGGACTCTGTGTCAATTGAACTCGGAACGAAAAAGTGAAAAAGTGAACAGTGCAGAAATAGTATTCGAAAGATCAACACCAGACAATTGCCTCATAGAGATTGATTCATAACGGGTGGGGCATATGAACCAAGTGTTTTTGGTTTGTGTAGTACTCGGCCATTAGAAAAGGGCCAGTTACCACTTGTCACTTGCCATTATGGAGCGGTTTCTCAGTTTTCACTTGCCATCATGGAGCTATCATTGTTATTTCACAAACACTTGATTCCTATGCCTCACCCTGTACAATAAGTTACTTACAGCCTTCTATAGGTCGCGTGCACGATGACCGACCCTGTAGGCAAAATATTGAAACACAACATCACTCTTCTGTGAATTATTGAAACACAACCTCACTTTTTTATTTGTTCACAGAGGAATCAAAAGGTAGAAATAGTTTTTCACAATATTCTGGCATAAGAATCGTATTTCTTGCGTTATTCATCAATTCATGCATGCCTTCGCATTGTGCTGTTGTACAATGCACAAAAAATGCAGCAAGAGACTAGGGAATATGATTTTTCAGGTAAATAGTAATCTCACATAGTTAGCATTATGAAATGTTGTCATTCCTTATTAAAATTCCTTCTGCCTTCTGCCACTTCTGCAATACAAGCTAATACTGCTAATAGATTGAAAATGTCTACAACACACACGATCGTCAGGATGTCAGACCAGTTCTCCCGATTGATTGCATGAATCCAATCTTCTTGCATTATTCTAGAAATTTCAGGTATATTTCTATTAGCTCCTATTGCAGAAGGAATTCCGATGAGAAATCAGAGAAATAACCAAATTTCAAAAATGAAAACTAATATGTGAGTGACTATAGTAGGTACTTACTTCTAAATCATAATGTACCATCCGGATTCCTTCATCTTCTGCTGTAGTTTTTGTGCATTTTATAACAGCACAATGTGATGGCATGAGCGAATTGATGAATAGCGGAAAAATACGATTCGTATGCCAAAATAATTGTGGAAAACTATTTCCATCACTTGTAAACAAATAAGAAAAGTGACGTTGTGTTTCAATGTTTTGCCTCCAGCGTCGGTCATCTGACAGTTCTTGCACGCAACCCATTGTACCTCTCAGTAGCTTTGGTTAGGAAAATAGCAAGTCTTGCTTCCACTTTTTTCTCAGTGAACTCTTTGGTCAGTGTATTTTTCTTGCAAGGGGCATATGAATCAAGTGTTTGTGAAAAAACAATAACGAACACGCGTTGCTCTACCGTCCACCGATCCATGATGGCAATTAGTGGCAACTGGGGAAGTGAAATGCTTCGAGTCGAGGAATGGATTGTAATAAACCGACCGTCCTTCCCTTTTCTAATGGCCGATTATTACCTAAACCAAAAACACTTGGTTCCTATGCCCCACCCTGTACTGAGGAAACTTACTGTTCGTATTCAAAAATACAGTTTTTAAGTTACCATCTGCCAAATTTCAATAAGTCATAGTCAATTAAATTATCAAAACTAGAAAAAAAGTCTCACATAAACATTCGTAAGTACAGGTTGTTGGAATATAAAAAATATATACAGGGTGGATCACGGTCGATGGCACCTTGAACATTTACAGAGAACGGGACATAGCATCATTCTGACAATTTGGTTACTCAAGTAGTTGCTCTTGGTCTATCGATTTAAAATATTATCGACAATGAAGTGTTGCCGCTTCTACCGAAAAGTAGAAACAACTTTATTTAAAATGGAATACTCTGTATTTTATTGCATTATTAGAATCTCCCTGAAGAGCTGATCTCACACTTGGGGTCTAGCGGGAATCATTACAGATATATAAGGTGTTTAAAATCGAGATTGTCCAACTTCTGGATTTGTTTGTGACGAAACTATTCATTATCGGCCAAAATGGCTTCCGTGTCAATATATCAACTTTTGATTTACTATCTACTGAAATTTAATTGGAACATATACAAGGTGATGGGAATTCTGAATTTTGAACCACTCCATTTGAAATATCATTGCGGAAAATATTTTAGATCGATAGACCAAGAGCAACTACTCGAGTAACCAAATTTTCAGAATGATTCTATTCCCGTTCTCCATAAACGTCTAAGGTACTACCATCGACCGTGACCCACTCTGTATAGCACGTACAGAGCTTGGTAAATACTCTGAAAAAAATATTCAATTCTCGAGTATTAAATATTCGAGTGGATTGAACAAAATTTATAATCAAATATTTTCCAATTATAAAAGTATTCAAAAGATTCACAGTAAGTGTTTAAATATTTTCACAGTACTATGTAACTATCAAAATGTTATGAATAATAATAATAATAATATTTATTCGAGATACTAATGGAAGAAAGATGATAATAATAATTCAAATATTGACGTATTAGAATACCTCAGTAAGTATTCCGAAAAAAAATCGAACACGAAATACCTAAATTTTCACTGTTCTATTGAAATATTCATTTTGTAATAATTTTTTGTTCACCTTGTTCATCCTGGGATCATTCGACACACAATCAAAATATTAGTTAACCGATTAAATAATATTATTGTCATTTTTGAAAAAGGAATTGATAAAGACTAGAAATACAAGGAATATACTGGATAAATAATATCACTTCAGGTAACAAGGAAGAATCTCTACCTACGGAAGAATCTGAAGAAACCTTTGCCCTTTTCAGGAGGGGGTGCCATCAACATTGGCACTTGGTTCTTGTGGGTGATACGTATCTGAAAATAATTGACACAAAAAAGGTAACACTGTATATCCATACTCATTTGAATGCATGCATTTTGTCGTAAAAAAATTGCTAACATTATTTGAAAATTCACATCCAAAAACACATGAAACAGCTTTTGGTCTTTAAATGATAGTAGATTGTTTTATTAGGATCAAAAGTGACACTTTGTTTGACAAGCGAATTTTGCATTTGCGAGGCGGAGCGTTTAGCGAAGCCGAGCGATAGCAAAATTTGCGAGTCGAACAAAGTCACTTTTGATCCGAATGAAACATGCTATTTTTTCTGCAACCGAAACAATTAACTCAAATAAACATGTGAAGTAACCACCAATGCTGTGCCATATGTATGCAATGCAACAAATATTGACAAATAATCCATGTGGTGAGAATATTCTACCTACATTAACAGCAGGTTAAGGTTTTCTAGGATGTTCGAATTGTAGTTTCAATATAAATACAACTACAGAGTGACATATTTGTGTATGGACCAGGTGCTCTAATGGCAAATACCGCGCCAGTGCCAGCTATAGGAACAAGACGTGGAAAATGTTAGGTTAGTGAGCATATCAACAATGATAATAGTGATTATTCATTCCTCTCCATACTACACTGTGTTTGACTTGATAATCAAATGAAGCTAAACAATATCGTTGTTTGAGACAAAAAAACTATTGCTTGCCGTGATTATTCAAATATGTTGCCTAGCAACATACCTATTTTTGTGTCAGTAATAGAAACGTCAATTTAAGAGCTGATTTTGGTATCAAAATCGACGACTTTTGTGCGGTTGTTTGTTTTTTGTAAGTGATTTTCCAGTAAGTGCTAAGAAAGTAAGGTAGAAATATGTGTGTGTATTAATCCTTGGAGTTGTTAATCAATAAGTTCATGTAAGTTCTGATTATTGGTGAAAAAAGTTGAAAAACGCCATACTACCTTAAAACACTCGTATCTTCTTTTAAAAATAAGATATTGACGTGAATCAAAAACTTTTGTGTTAAGAAGGGATCACACTTCAATCCGAAGCATAATCAAGCCATGTTCAATCACGCAATTTTGCCTCAGGGCGTTGAGAAGTCTATACTTCTATTCTATACCCTATGGTGAAAGAGTAACTTTGGTTTTCCCTGTATGATGATCAAGTCATCAGCATTTCAGGAAAACTAATATTTAGGCTAACATTCCGGAACATGAATCTACGATTTGATCGAAATTTCACAAAAATCCGACAAGGATTAAAAAAGTTATAGTGTGAACAATTTGGGCAAATTTTTTGGTGGCCAGTGTATTTTGCCGGTGAGTGTAGATTTATTGTTGTACCATGAATGAGTAGCAGAATTCAACGTTTTTTGAAATTCAGACAACTTTCATTTCATTATTCTGATCTTCCTCGTTTTTTTTGTTATGAGAAATATAATTTCTACTATAAATTGATGGCATTTATGAATATTAATGTTGAAAGTAATTTTGTTCAAACGCAAAGTACATTTTTTTCTCTCATAATTCTACTGTTCATTAGCAATAAAATAGTATTTTCTCTGAATGGAACTTACTGTGGTTGGGGGTTGCATCCATGGTTCCCCGTCGATTTGCATCGGAAAAGTCTTTTTGGTTTTTATCAAAACTGAGGAACATTGCGCCAGCCGTCTACCGCTCGCCCTCAGGCCAGTACGGACCTGGCCCATATGGAGACAATTTTCTAAACCGATCACTTCTATCAATCCATCACCGATATCTGAAAATAATGTTCAATCATAGCGATATAATGACAATTTGAAGTATTTTCATCAGTGAAATGGGAAATTACAATGTGATTCAATCTTGAAAGCAATTTTTCGTATGACGCTCGTCCACGCTATACAGAATGGCAACCGATAAAGTCAATGTCGTTTTCATTTTCAAATTGAAGCAATTTCTAATTTTTGGGGCGGCGAATTGTGACGTACATTCTGAATCTAGTCTGAAAATAGCTGATGGTGAAGAATATAGCTAACGAATGAAACACGAATGCAAAAAATAGAAGAAGTAAAACTGGTAAACAAAAACATACATAACCACAAATGCACTCGGAGCAGGAATGCAGAGGGCAGTTGGCTTCATTCTGACATGTTATGGTTTTGTTATTTATGCATTGAAATATCTCGAATAGAAATCGATCCTAAACGAAAATATCATTGAATCAATGAATTACTATCGGCTACATTCAATCCTTCCTAATTTACTGCCATCGGTCAGAACAGAATGAAGCCGACACCTATAGCTCCTTCCTCTTGTTGTGCCTGTCAGTATTTCGAGTGGTGTGGTCGGACTCGAAGTATTTGGCGCTGTTGCAAGATATAATTTTCAACTTGCCTAGAAGATAGATCCGTTTTTTTAAGGAACGAATTCATTAGCAAAAAAATGACTAACAAGTTATCAACAACATATTGTAATATAACGATAGTGAAAAATTATAGATACTACCGCAAAATATCATAATTTATTTTTATTAGTAATCAACTTCATTCAGCCAATGAGAGATTTATGAGAATTATTCATAATACTTGACAAAGTAGGATTGAAGAACCTATTATATCTCATTGCTGTTATGATAATATACACACACCGGCACAATTAGGGGAACTGGCAAACTTCACACTAAGTTTGACCTCAATTTCCTCTTGAACCCATCGCTCGATTTAAATTTTGTTTTCAAGAATTGTAGCTTGATCCTTCACGAATACATGTGACGAATGAACACCTCCGAATGATCCGTCTTCATATCATATACAGAGGTGGAAAGAAAGTATGGATTTTTCGGTATTTTTCAAGATATCCTGTGGAGTGAATCAAAGACAATTGACACCAGTCTGTATCACAAAATTGTAGCCTGATCTTTTCCGAACATCTTCTTTTTGTATTCATACTGATATCTCCATTATTCAAGAAGATACAGAGTTTCAATGAAAAGGTAGAGACTGGTCTTACCACCTTTTATCACCTCGAAAATCGAATTGTATCCAAAAATGTGTCATTTATCAAGTTGTTTGCTTGAATGAAAATTTCCACTTTGTTGAATATTGCTCTCAGTTTCACGTATTCTATTGTGTCAAGAATTCTTGGGAATATACAGAGGCGAAAAAGAAAAGTAATTTACTCAAAGCATTCATTCAATAACAGAAACATCAACTCAACGAACAATAAAGATCCAAAACAACAACGATGATTTCAATAACGCTTGTGACCTCCACGGGCCCTTATTACAGCAGTCCTCCGTCTCCTCATGCTTCTGCTTCCAATGACATTATCAATCATTTTTTGAGGAAGATTATCTTATCCCCAGTTCGAGTGTAGAGAACGGTTAAATTGAGATCAATATCCACATTTTATTTGAAACTATGAATTCTGTAATAATTGAGATATCAAAATGAATAAGAAATGAAAATATTCGGATTAGAGTGGGTCACAATTTGGTGTTGAGAAATCGTTTCAATTATTAGTGGTTCACTCCACAGGACGTCTTGAAAAATACCGAAAAATCCGTACATTCTTTACATCCCTGTATATGATATAAAGACGAATCGTTTGAGAATGGTTATTTCTCAGATGTTTTCGTGAAGAACCAAGCTACAATTCTTGGAAACGAAAAATTTAATCCAGCGATGGGTTCATGAGAAAATTGATGTCAAACTGAGTGTAAATTTTGCTCGTTCCCCTAATTGTGCTGGTGTGTGTAGTTATTATGCATTCAAAGAACAATTTCCGGAAATCTAGACATATTGATAATGTCGGCAACGTCGCATAGAGAATCGTTTTTAACTCTGAGTGAATGTGGATTTTCAGAAAGTACGTCATAGTAATGGTGGAGGAGCCAAGTTCCTCTTCTTTTTTTTTTCTGAAGTGAAATTTGATCTTACGAAAAGAAGAAAAAATACTTATTCATTAATTTTTTACAAACTTCACAGTGAAATATGAACCTCAATATAGGAAACTTCCCCATTAGAAAAAAAAAATATTTCGTGAATATCAGTTTCATTTTTGTTAATTGTATCAATACCTTGAACTGCAACGCTGAGATCCACCGAATTGAAACTGCTCGTGCTCATGCTCTTTTTGTGTTTGCCCTTCCGCTTGGGATTCGAGAGGTGCTCCCCCCAAAGGTTCGAGCCCCCGTGCGTGTAGGGGATGTTGAGGAGGGCGACGCCTTGTAGGGGTGCGCCGTTGGCCAGGTCCAATCCTACGTCGTCGCACTGAAAGGAGAAGAACGGCATTTTCTGAGGAAATCGACTCGAGTGCTAACTAACCTAACTCGATTTTTTTGTAGATTTGAACACAAACAAATAATACCCTTGATTATTCACATGGGTTGCGTGCAAGAACTGTCAGATGACCGACACTGGAGGCAAAATATTGAACCACAAACGTCACTTTACTTATTTGTTTACAAGTGATCGAAATAGTTTTCCACAATTATTTTGGCATATGAATCGTATTTTTCCGCTATTCATCAATTCGCTCATGCCATCACATTGGGCTGTTGTAAAATGCACAAAAACTGCAGCGGAAGATGAAGGAATCCGGATGGTACATTATGATTTAAAAGTAAGTACCTACTATAGTCATTCACATAATATAGTTTTCATTTTTGAAATTTGGTAATCTCCCTGATTTCTCATCGGAATTTTTTCTGCGATAGAAGCTGATAGAAATACATCTGAAATTTCTAATAGAATGCCAGAAAATTGGATTCATGCAATCAATCGGGAGGACTGGTCTGACATGCTGACGATCGTGTGTGTTGTAGACATTTTCAATCTAGCAGTATTAGCTTGTATTGCAGAAGTGACAGAAGGCAGAAGGAATTTCAATAAGGAATGACAACATTTCATAATGATAACTATGTGAGATTACTATTTACCTGAAAAATCATATTCTTTAGCCTCTTGCTGCATTCTTTGTGCATTGTACAACAGCACAATGCGAAGGCATGCTCGAATTGATGAATAGCGCAAAAAACACGATTCGTATGCCAAAATATTGTGAAAAACTAGTCCAATCCTTTGATTCCTCTGTAACCAAGTGAAAAAGTGAGGTTGTGTTTCAATAATTAACAGAAGAATGAGGTTGTGTTCCAGTATTTTGCCTCCAGGGTGGGTCATCGTGCACGCGGCCTATTGTAGGTGGCGGTATCATGTGATTTTTGATTTTTCACATAATGTTTGTTATCGTTTGAAAAATAAAAAGTCCGAAACCATCAAAAGCATGCGGTGTTCCACAGAACGAGAACAAACCTACTATAATGTTTATTATTCGAATAATGAATACACGTGTATAAAAAATACAAAAACAACATAACTAAACAATGGTAGAATCACTGAAAAATAACTAAATACTATGAGATTTGATATTCATTTGATTCAAATTCCAAGGACGAAATTACATGTGAAGACCACAGACCAATATTTAATTGAACGTACAATCAATATTATAAGTTGAAGTCAAAGTCATTTCAGATACCCTCCTGATGATGGCCTAGTGCCGAAAACGTTCGAGTTGCTATTCAATAAATAAATAAATTGTATACTATAGCCTAATCATTAATATTGATTATCAGAATATACCGGGTGGCTACGGAAGTATTGCCTACGGAATATCTCAGTTATTGTATGAAGTAGATTTGTGAAATTTGGAGCGTCGATATAATGACATAAGAGCTAAAATTTGAGCATATTGACATGTCGAAGTTAACTTCCGGTCTGACCGGAAGTAACATCAACTTTCTTATTTTAAATGGAAACCCTATTTTTTTTTCTTTTCGCTTTATTCAGCATTCAATTCCCTTTCTAATAACATATCACAAGTTGGTATCTAACCAGAAACTAGATCAGAAAAAAATTACTATTGAAATTCATCGAGTAGGCCGTGGAAGCAAAATGAAAGCCAAAAATTGAAAAGTTGGCTATGGAAACCATACGTCAGTTGATAACAGTTGCTACTACTGTGATATTTTATTTTCATTCGTCGGCGTTATAAAAAGCCGCAAAAAAAAATTTTTGAAAAATTGGGAAAAAAACAATACTCTGTAGGTCCATAACTTGAATAGGAACATACAACTTTTTCTTGCCTGTACTATTCAGCATAACCATTCCTTTCTAATGATATAATAGAAAGTCATTTTTTGGCTTTCATTTTGCTTCCACGGCCTACTCGGTGAATTTCAATAATAATTTTTTTCTGATCTAGTTTCTGGTTAGATATCAACTTATGATATGCCATTAGAAAGGGAATTGGATGCTGAATAAAGCGAAAAGAAAAAAAAATAGGGTTTCCATTCAAAATAAGAAAGTTGATGTTACTTCCGGTCAGACCGGAAGTTGACTTCGACATGTCAATATGCTCAAATTCTAGCTCTTATGTCATTATATCGACGCTCCAAATTTCACAAACCTACTTCATACAATAACTGAGATATTCCGTAGGCAATACTTCCGTAGCCACCCGGTATGTCTTATTCTTCTATTTACTCAAACCATTTTTATATAGAAAATAGAGGACAGAAGTTCAGCTGTGTCCAAACTCTTATCTACTGATACCATCCCTCTACTTTTACTTATATTTCCGAACACCAAGAATCATGACTCGCTGTCATGAACGACAGTTTGTTGGTTGGTAAGTTCCTGCGCACTGATGAGCAGTTGGGTTCCTGAGAAAATATGACATATTGCGGTCAAAGAAAATTGTTATTTGAAATTTAAATTCCACAATTTCTAGATTTTTTAAAAAATGTCAAAATATTATATCCAAGCAAGGCCTTGAAAATATATGCCTTATAGCGAAACTGATTCAGAGTAGCATACAACCTTCCAATTTCCTCCATTTCATTTCTGGATTTGGCTTATCACCACCCCAAGAGTATTGCACTGGAGCTAAATAATTCGTTTTTATTTAGAGCGTCCAAAAAGTCTTTTTTTCACGAAATTGTCGTTCTTCGTGGTTCTAGTGAGTTTCGAGCATTGCGTATCAGAGTGTCACCTACGATTAATAATTCCTTTTTTATTATTAGCTCTTAAATTGACGTTTCTATTACTGATACAAAAATAGGTATGTTGCTAGGCAACATATTTAGTTCCTAGGAGGTAGAGTTGAATTTTAGTTCCTAGGAGCTAAAGTTGAACTTTAGCTCCTAGGAACTAAAAAGGATCTACTGGACGTCATCAAGAATAAACAACATTGTGACGGTTGGTTATTTGGGTTGAGACGCATACCTGATTTGTTTCCGATTTCAGCAGATTTGGCATTTCATATCCATGCTGGAGATATAAATACACCTTATTATAGTCTAGTATTGGAATTATAAACATCTGAGTTAAGTATTTTTGTTACGGTCAGAGAAGCCTTCAAGATTCAAATACTTGATCTGTATTTCATTCGTTATTCTCGGGATGGAAAACTTGTTTTTGAATAATCACGACAAGCAATAGATTTTTCTCTCAAACAACGATATTGTTTAGCTTCATTTGATTATCAAGTCAAACACAGTATAGTATGGAGAGGAATAAATAATCACTATTATCATTGTTGATATGCTCACTAACCTAACATTTTCCAAGTCTTGTTCCTATAGCTGGCACTGGCGCGGTATTTGCATTAGAGCACCTGGTCAATACACAAATATATCACTCTGTAGTTGTATTTACATTGAAACTACAATTCGAAAATCCTAGAAAGCCTAACCTGCTGTTAATGCAGGTAGAATATTCTCACAACATGGATTATTTGTCAATATTTGTTGCATTGCATACATATGGCACGGCATTGGTGGTTACTTCACATGTTTATTTGCGTTAATTGTTTCGGTTGCCGAAAAAATAGCATGTTTCATTCGGATCAAAAGTGACTTTTGATCCTAATAAAACAATCTACTATTATACCCAGCGAAGTGTCTGATATTGAATAGAATGTTGTGGTTTCCAACTGCGCTGATATACGTTTATTTGAGTAGCAGTGTGCCTGATCTGTCAGGTGAGTTGATGTTAATAACATCTTTATAACAATTAAGTACTGGACGCTAAGTCCCTATTTTTCTTTCATTTAATTGTGAATCAGTCACGCGGCAAAATTTTGAGTATTATCTGTCATTTTGCAGATACCTAGCAACTTTGGGAAAAATTAAACTGGTTTGTCTGACTCGGCTTGTTTCATTGCCACAAATATATACATTGTGAACTCTAACCCAAAAACCCTGAGATTTGAAAGAGTTTCGCCGCAGCCTATTAAATATTGATATTTTTGTGCAGGTGGTTATGTGAGCTTTTTGAATAAGCTCTTCAGTTGCTTGAGAAAATTATACACGATAGCCAAAAATGGATTCAAACATCGAAAATTTCATCGAGGAACTCAAGATAAGGTTCAAGAATCAGGAATCACAATTGGATCCTGTTGAAATCGAGAAACGTTTAAGGGAATTCAAAACAGAACTTTATATTAAAAGGGTGAGAAACTAAGATTTTTTTCCCTTTATTTCCTAGTTTAGATTAGATATTTTTTGACAGATAATAGATAATAGAATAACATTCAATGAAAAAACCTGTGACCTTTGCCTCCAAATAATCTTCACATGCAAGGAAATTGTATTTGTAATTCGTTTGATAAATATTGAAAGAATCTCATTCGTTGAAAAGTTTGTATTATAAAAATATGCGACTATTTATATGTTCTAGGATGAAGTAAAAAAATTGCGGAATGATTTGGAGTCGGCCACATTAGAAATCAATGAACACAAAAAGGCATTGAACACGTTGAATAGATCTAACGACGAAAACGCTTTCAACAATAATATTTTATCGAAAAAATACGGTAGTATGATGAATGAACTAATGGAGAAAAGGGATTCATACATGAAACTACAAATGCAACACAAAATGACGGTCAGTTCGAGCTAAACAAATAATAAATAATGTGGAATTCGACTCATCATAAATGTTTGCTATTGTTAGGTGGCAGAAAATGAAATTCTAAAAGAGAAACTGCAAGAAAACGAAACGGAAAAATGTGAACTCGCTAGGAAAGTTGAATCTTTTGAAGCAAAACAGAGACATGATTTCATTTATCACAAGGAAATTTTGAAGCAGCATTCAAATTCAAAAGTTTTCATGGAAGAAATCAATGAGTAAATTTCCATTATGTTTTTAAAGAAATAGTAATTCAATGGGGAAAAACTTCTAGCATGGTAACAAAACTCAAGGTTGATCATGCTGAAGCTGTTGAACTGGCCACAAAATCCAAATTGGCAGAAGAAGCTACAGAAAAGCTTCAGTTCATTTCAAAAAATTATGAAAAACTGAAAGCTGAAAAAGATGCTCTGGAAGAGCTATATATCAAAACTAACGGTGAGACAAAAAATTAATTGCAATCAAGAACAAAGCTCTCTTATGCACATCCTGTATATTTTTTGTTTTCAGCTAAATGTGAAACTCTTGAGCAGTTGATGAGCACCAGAAGTGAAATTCATGAACCTAATCTAGTGACTAAATTAATTTACTATTATGTAAGTAGTATGCATCTATACTGAGTGTATAGTTACAAATATGGAAAAGAGTTCATACAAACGTGGGTTGGTAAATGCTGAGAAGGTATCAGAGATAAATATATTTTTAAAGGAAGTACAGTCATATGCAATGCAATGAATATGTCGCACATGATCTAGTTGCTTCTGCAATAAATGCACTAACACCATCCAACCGCGACATGTTCTTTGCATCTGACTGTACTTATTGTTTCACCTTTTTCTTCATATGAAACACTGTGATCAATTCTTGGATAATTCCTAAGCAATTTCACTTTCCTTATGGAGTTCAAGCTACAGCCTAAGGTATAGTATTTTTTTAAGGAAGCGAGATACTAAAAAAAGTCAAGGGACTAAAATGTTGTAGGTATGTATTTGTATTTATAGTGTGTTCATTTTAATACATAATTGTTAAAAACCGCAAAAACTGGTTTGCTCGTTTAGTATGACCCTGTAAATTCTTATAATCCATGAATAAACCCTGAAAAATTTCAATGGAATCGGTAAAAGCGATTTGAGTAAAAGCATAACACCCTGTGTTTGACCCAAATGTTGTAGAGCTAGGGGGAACTATATCGAACCACCATATTTCAGTGAATGTCATATGGTAATACCTCTTGAATATTCACCTGCATATTCTTTCGAAAATGTTTGTCTCAATGAAAATAAAATTACAAGCTTTACATGTAATATATTTATGATTTTTTTAGTGGAAATCAGATAAAGCTCAATTCCTAGAGGAAAAAACAGAGAAGAGTAAGATACTACTTCAACTCACTGAATCCTATGCCTCAGAGAAAACTGCAAATATAAAACTGATCTATAGAAATGAAGAACTTAGTGATTCAATAAAGGATTTGGTAGAGGCACAAGCAAAAATAGTCGGAGATCTGAATCGTAAAATTGAAGACTTGAAAAGGCAATTAAACCAGTTTCAGGGTACCGAGACTAACGAAAATGAAGTTAAGAATGAACCAATAGAAATTCAGGATTAATTTAGTTTGATGAACATGTTAAATGATTGAATTACTCTTTTGTGGCATTCAAATAAGTTTGCCTAATTGCTGTGAATACGTTTTTATGTAAAATTCGAACAATTAAATGATTTTATATTACTTGGTGAGCTCTTCATACAGAATATAATATTCTTAGGTTATACTGATTTTCGTCGTTTATTTGGCCAACATTCTTAATTAAAGATATGTATCCTATCATCTCGGACATGTCGTATGGTCATAAAATTTTCAACTTACAGTTATTTCAATATGTTCATGGAGATTCTTGCAGGATGCCGAAAATTGTTCAGATGTGGCATATTCGAAGTACCACAGCTTGTTCTTCATTCTGCTGTTGAATTTTTCTGGATTCCTTTCTCTTTCCAGATGGAATTTCACACATATGGCTGCATCCTGAAAATCACAAGAACCATTCCAATAATGGTATATTCAACTATAAATTTCATGTTATGTACAGGCTGTTTCATATTTTCACTGCATAGTTGAAATTCCCGCTAGCTCCCTAAAAAATTATTGAAATCGCGAAAATCTACTAGCATCTATTTTTTGTGCGAACTTCTGACTGACTTTCCCGATTGGCACGCCTGAAATTAAACTTGTAAGTGTTCCAAGAGATGCAAATGTCACTTCAATCTGCCAAAGTGTTATAATTAAAAGTCAAAATTCAAGTTGAAAAACGGAATAAAACATCTCAATTTTGAAACAATAACATTCTCTTGAATGGTGTAATTCAAGATGACTGTCGCCATGAAACGGAAATATAAACGGGAATAACGTACAATCAACTTTTATCAAAGAGAATGTGAAATACCTAACTCCCTGTATACCTGTATATTGATTGAATTGGTACATTGTACGAATACAGTCCACTATCTATGAAGATCGAACATATTGGTCCTTCGAACCGGATCTATGAAAATCAAATCTTCAATTAAGACTGCCAAATTCTTCATAAGGGATGCAAAGCAAAAGCTGAAGCTTTCACAGCTAGCAACAAGCAGTTCAAGCAAACAGTAAATAGTTAAGGCGTACAGTTAATGGCATGTGTTCTTTCATCTGAATTTGGCCCCTTTCTGGTTTTTATGTGAATATTGTACGTGTCAAATACATGATTTTGTATGATTTAGATATGATAGAATTCTGATAGACTTTGATACAATTCTGATAGACTTTGATACAATTCTGATAGCCTTTGATACTCACCACCCCGATGGAAAAATAATTGTTGATGATGTTGTACGGTATCCTCGTGTCGGCCGATTTCTGCTCCGGCTCCGCCTGCACCGCCGTGTCCGACAGCTCGATCAGCCACCGGTCGACCATGACGGGCTGCGCACGCGCGATCTTGTGCAGCAGCTTGTGCACGGACTCGCCCTCGTAGCCCCCACCCCAACGAAGGCAGCGTGCCAGATCGTTGCCCGTGCCCAGAGGGATGACTGCTATGGCCGGTTGGCAGTCCAGTTCCGTTTTGTCTGCAAGAAGTTGGATAAGAGGTAACGAAACTGTTCGATTCGATTCAATCAGTGTGGTTATAAGACTACTATTATCTTTGGCTGTGTCAAGTCATCCGTCTGACCACAGTGGTGATACCAGAATGGTCAATGGCTGACATGACTCCCAGCCAGAAGTTGATGTGTGTGGGCAGGTTTGAAACGTGACCGATATTCCCAAACAGCTGGTTGGTCAGACTGATGGTCAGACTTCATACTGAACGTATCAGCCTTTGTTGTTCGTGATCACTGGTAGGGCGATGCATTGAAAAATTACTATAGAGATGCAAAAAGTGGGGTTATCTGGAAAAGATGCTTGTGCACAGACTCGCCCTCGTAGCCGCTGCCCCAGCGCAGGTAGCTCACCAGGTCGTTACCCGTGCCCGTAGTGATGACTGCTATGGCTGTTTGGCAGTTGAAAAAACCGTCGAAAACGTTTTTTGTCCTTCAAAGAATATATCAAAGCTAAAAAATACGTATTTTCAAAAATTTATCAACGCATCGTTTAATAATCACGTTGAGTATATGTTCCTGAAACTTATTCCAATAACGTTATTGTCATAACAAAATTGACAACGTCGAGAAATCAACCAGTAACGTATTTTTCATCAACATTAAATGAACGTTGAATCAACGTACATGAGCACATTGGGTAGGCACTCAAGGCACTCATAGCTTTTACTGCAAACAAATACCATTCGTCTTCTAGGTAACCCTAAAGATAAACTCTTGATACGTCAGATATTTATGATTTCTCTAGATTTTTTGGATTTTCTTGTATTTATCATCATAATGCATCGTAATGACTGTAACATGACATACGAGTTACATATACTTAGTGAATACAGCAAAAATGCCCAAAATATTCGATTTTCCTTAATATCGATTATGGCACTGCAAGACTATTGAAATTCTATAGTGACTCTACCGTCCACAGAAAATTTGATGACATTGACATTTCGAATTCCATTCTAATATGAGTAGTATGTCTGTGTTTAAAATGTATGTTGGGCTTCCTAGCTTGAGTGTGATACTTTGGTGATGGACACTTGCTATTTCAGTAGATAGTAGTGATTTTGGTATTCCTCAGGGTTGGAACAAGTCACAAATTTTCAATTTTCGCAAAACAAACTGAAACTATTGATATGGATGGCATTTGGCAACATTATACCTAGCTATGGAGAATAGTGGTTGTGTTTCATTGTGGTGGCAAGACGTGGCCATACGTATCAGCTGAACCAGTCTCTCTTTGAACTAGATCTCACATTTGACAATACCATCCAGTGACTCTAGGTGGAAGAATCCCACTCAAGTACATAGTTGGTAGAATTGATGATTATTCCTAGGAAGGGTTGCCTGGATCAGAAAACGTGGTGAGGGGAAGTGGTAATTCCTGACGTAATCGCATCCAACATTTCATATTGGGATCATTGAAGACACTTGTAGAATATAGATTCGCCCATGAACCCGAAATGTAATTTTCGATGAGATTACGTCACGAATTACCACTTCCCCTGACCGCGTTTTGCTGATCTAGGCAACCTTCTTCTACAAATAATCTTCAATTCAACCAACCTCGACTCAAGTATTCAGGTAGTGCCATCTGTCAGCAGAGCGGTTTGCTTGTAGTACCACTTTGCCAGCGTATAGACGTAGGGTTCTGTACAAATGGCAGCGGCATACAATGTGTGTCACGATCTTCATGGTTCTACTTCAGAACTATGCCACTACCTCATTACCCTCAGTCTCTCCTGCTATGTTGCCATTTACATGCCCTATGTGTAATATGATTCGATAAACAATCTGTACATCCACTCACCCATGGTCTCGAGCACCCATCCGACGGTCCCGTCCCCCCCGCAGCACACGACCTTGAACTCGCCCACGTCCTTGAACATGTTCAGCCCGTGTGAAGGCCCGCTGCCCGTGCCCAACACGTGCACCTGCCGCGGGTTAAGGATGTACTGAAACTTAATAATATATAATAATAATAATATATTCATTTTTCAATGGGACATAGTTAATTAGGTAGGAATGGTCAAAGCAAAACAAAGCATGCAAAAACACGAAAGACGCCACGCACTAATATTATTTATGAGTAATATATGTAATATATAGTATAGTGATTCATATAGTGACTTGAACCTATTCCTGGCGCATTTTTGTAGTTTAAGACAAGCAAACATCGACAAATTCTCATGATGAATGATAATGCTAATTTTAATAATTTTCTGTTGAATTCAACAGACAATAATTTCTTCACGTAATTGATCCAAAATCTGAAAGATAATTGATAGGTATTCTCTTTTTTTTTATATTTAAATTATCATATCTGGTGAATAATAGGTCTATGGTTAGTTTCATGAATAAATAATTCAAAATGACCTGTTATTTGAGGTAGGCGGAAAAATCATATGTATAACATGGGAGTGAAGTGCCTTTACCTACTACCAATATGTTATGTAAAACAATACTACACTGATTTTAGTAGCGTAATGAGATACTTTACCGTACTAGTGCGGTAAAGTGAAAAGAATATGATTTCAAATTTCATTTTCACTCAAAAATAGAAATAAGAACCAATTCATCATGAATATAGACATACTATTATCATGTAATAATGTACCAGGTGAACAACTAAGAACGGCTGTCGGCCATTTCTCAGCAACGAATAATGATACAAGTTTAAGATAAAATGAATCTAATGGTATGCATATCATTACACGATGTAATAGAGAAACTAAATCTCAACAGACCAACGAAAACCGCAACATGATAGCTTTTCGCCAACGGAAGATATCAACTAGCAACGTTGGAATAAGTTTCGATCGCTGCATTCGCCGCAATCTCTATATCGGAATCTAAACTTTCCTGATCCGAATTCATGCCGATGAATTTTTTTTTTTTCGAATTGATATTAACGCGTTAAAGTTGACAGTTCACAGAATGAGTGACAACCGAGAACACAATAGATTCACGACAACCATACGCCCAACCCTTGCAACGCTTGCTTGTTACATATTCCTAATGAATCGTCAGTTCAAGGAATATAAAATATTTTTGATTGAATAATTAGCCTTTTGGTAGTAGGTGAAATATTGTACTATATTCGTATCGTAAATATCTATTTCCTCCCTTGAATGATTACTGCCCTCCGCCTCATCCTCGGGGGAAAAGTAGCCCTCCCCCCCCTTGTTAATATATACAAATAAATACAAATAACTATCAAGCTATTCCGTCGTGTATTGTAGTTACCTTGCGCAGGATGCGGGGCCCTTGTCGGCCGCCCGATTTCGGATTGATGAAGACCAAGAGGGGCACGCAATTGGGCGACACGGTGATCTGGAAGGACATCGCCGGCTGTTGGCAAGCCGCCGACGACGACGATATGGAGCCCTGCGGAAAAATAGGCGAGTGGACTATTTTCTTTCATTTCTCAATAGAATCATCACTCAAATACTATTCAGTTTCATATTTTTTCAAGAATTCATCGGACAAGCATATAAAGGTTCTGATACAAAAAATATCTCCAATCCTTGAAGCTTTGATAAATGAAATTTGTTAATCAATTCAATTTGAATTTACAACTGTTGTCTTTTCCATTTTCAATTTCTTCTTATATATAAAATAATGTTTGGTTTTCTATTGTGGATACACTTCTTTATTTTTTGACTGAAGATGGCCATTTGAATGGCCGAAACATGTATCAACTTTCAACCTTAATGAAGCAGGATTGACTGCCTTATTATACATTAAAAATTGTGGAGACGACTTTGGGTTTTTCTCTATTGATCATTCCACTCCACTTTGAGTATGGACTACTACAGAAGATTATATGGATATGATTGCTATATCTAGTTCAATGATGATTCATTTCATTGTTGAATGTAATAGATTATTGAAAGTATGGTGCTGTCATTCTATTCAATATTTTGTTTATGAAAATCATTGAGCAGTAGTACAATCTCTGCGAAAATGAAACCCAATATCTTTTTTATATAAAATAAGTTCTGAAAAAGTTTTCAATATGGTGCTGACTTATTCACTCACGTTATCATGCCCGTATTTGGAACCCCTCTTCTGCACAGACCTCTGCCTGTCTAAGACTATCGGACAAATGGAGACAGGTGGTAGAATATGGACGGCATGTTCTCCTAGTCCGCATTCGGCTTTCACTTGAGAAACGCATTTGTTATGCAACTGAAAAAAACAAAATAAATTATTACCAAAATAAAAATTGTGAATATTTACGATAACAAAGGTATAGGTTCCTATAAAAATAACAGGACAATAATAGCATACTTAATTGTGTCCAATTATGAAACAGCGAATCAAAAACAAAAAGAAAAAGATGGTAAGACTTCGAACTTTTTCGGGAAATCTGGATAAAAAGTGGTTTGTTCACATTTTCATTATGGAATTTGAATTTTCCAGAGAAAGATATGTAGATAACCAAAATTTCGAAAAAAAAAACCGTCGCGAAATTACCACTTGATCAACGAGATTGATCTCAAATCTGAGAAACATCTCTAGCCATTATTTGCTATCAGACCATTTATATGAACAGTGGCATATGCTTTCTATGAGCGCCTAGCTCTCGATAAGTATAATTTTGGGAGGAAAAAGTCGTCTTGCCCCAAATCCTATTTTAATAGCTGTATTGATTAAAATCTATTTAATGGTTTTCACGGGGACATGAAAATTCCAATATAGAAAACATGAAAACATGAAAAAATAGTTATTTATTGGAAAAAACTATTAGATTTTAGCTCAATGTTGTGTTGTCTCCCGACGGAAACCTTTAAAGCCTACTTTAGTAATCACATCTGTCAATTCAATTCTGTGATTTGATTTGAAAATTGCTAACTTAATGGTTGTTATTTTGAAAAAAATAAAGTTAAAAATGTCTGCGAGTTTAACTTTCAATTTTGATGGTATTTTATTACAAATTTTAGATCCATTAAAACTCGAATGTTTTTCTAAAATTCTAAGCTTATGTTTTTCGAGTCGCACATTGTTGATTTTGTTTCTTATATCGTAACTATGATTGATTTTATTTGTTATTGCCGGATTACCTTTAATAAAGATTATTAACGCCTTCAATATATTATTTTCTAAAAATGATGCTGCTGATGGATAATAAAATGATTTACGGAATATCATCTTCAAAACATATTTTTGAATATATAATAAAGGTGTTAAATGAGTTTCATACATACCACCCCATCCAATTATTCCATACGATAATATAGATTGGAAGAGAGTGTAATAAAACATAATTAATTAATAAATGTCTACTGACATTATTTCGCAAAAGTCTGAATCTTGGAAGGGTACCTCTGAGTTTCTTTGTTAGTTCTTAATCTTATTTATTTTTCTCAAATAGAATCTTCACTCAAATACCTTTCAATTCCATATTTTTAAAAAAATTGTTGGTCGATTTTTAGGTGCTAAAATCATCAATAATGTCACGATAATTTTCAAACGGATAGAAATTTACCCCGCGCACGCCTTATGGGCGTGGTCTTGTCAGTTCTCAGCATTCAGCATAATGTTGCCAAGTCTCTAACATTCATATGATATGTTGTTATGGAGAATAAGAAATATTTGGACATGTTGGTTGCTCAAAAAACTCAAGAAGGAACGATTACATCATGGGTTCCTCCTATTATGTTTCATTCAACGACAGGACTCTAACATCTTTTCGATATCTTGATTATATTTGGTGACTTGACAACCAATTATGAAATAGTATATAAAGTGACGTTACTATTTTTTCGAACAACGCATAGACTCATTGTTTACATAAAACAAGCGTGAGAAGTGTTGCAAAAATTAATTTAGGTTCCCAATGACACAGTGGATTAATTGAATGCCAATAATTCATCATCAGTATACTCGCCCATTCCACTCCAATTTATGATGAAAGTATATCCCAAGATATTTGATTGTATTCACTTCAGATATTGCATTTCAATAATAAATAATTGAATTGAGGTAGAAGCAATAATAATTATATAATTCATTATCGTTAGCGAATTTTCAATTTGTTATCGTTCCTGATCGACTTACCGTTATCTGACACCATCTGCAATGCAGGCCGGTGATGCCAGCTTTGACGGGTTTCCTGCACCGAGCGCACTTGCCGTGACAGTTGCCCTCGACCCAATGGTGCTGCAACGTTTGACAGGACTTTTTGCTCTTCACGTACGTCGCTATGCAGCTGGCCGGCGCCCTGCCGACGCATCGTTCGTGCACCGTGTATTTACAAACTGGAAATTAGTATGAAAATGAGCCGACATTATTAATTGAGCACCAACTATACATATTTATTCATTTTAGGGAACGGAAAAGCTGATGAACTGGCAAGAACCGGCTCATCAACTCCATACATTGGCCTAGAACCGTTACTTCCGATACTAACAAGGCCTGAAGGCTCGTAGTGAACAGCTCGTGACGTCAGCTAACTGAGGCCACACAACGCACACGTTCGTTACCGTCGAGACAACAGTCGTCAGTTGTTCAGGCATGAAATATTTTGTGTTGTGATGGGCGAAATAACTATGCCTTTCAAGTGTTGTATTGCCTTTTGTCGGGGGAATTATGTGGGTGGTCCAAAAGTTCATGCTTTTAGTTCCCCGTTGGACAAGGAACTATCGAAAAGGTGGACATACGGGACCGGATTAAGCGAAAACATAAGGAGCTCCTCACATGCACCACGGAAAAGCATTCATTGAAGAAATAAAAAATAATAAATAAAAATAAATCTGAAGAACTACTCGAGATGAGTAGGAACCAGGTCAGAACAATAACGAAACTTCTCACTGGTCGCAGTCCAACGAGAGGACACCTGAATAAAATGGGACTGTACAATGGAGAACTTATCTGCAGACAATGCGGTTAAGGGACAGAAACAGCCAAACACTTATTAATAAAATGAGATTGGACCGCAAAAGACAAGGAATATTCGGGCAGCCTCCGGGCTGACTCCCGAAGAATACAACAGCCAGCTGGTGAAGAACCTGTACAAACTGGTGCAGGGAATAAGAGCAACGGAATAAGTGCTGTAAAATATACTGGAATGCACAAAAAGCCCAGGAGGCTGAGGTGTAGCCAGTGGCAGGACCAGCATCCAAGAAAAAAAATTGTTCATTGAGAAAATAGCTTCCAGTCAGAAATGAAATTCTAGTATTAGGAAGTTGATTACAAACAACAATAATAAATTAGCATAAGGTGACAACAACAACAACAAAATCTAAAAATGCTTAATCGATCAAGTCATAAAAATAGCAACAGGGACTAATGAGTAGATGGCAAAGTATCAATTTGATCCATTTCGTAATAAAATCATGTGTTTTCTCAGTTCAATTTTAAATTTCGTAATATATTTGCAATTTTTTATATTATGTGGTAATTTATTGAATTCAGCTAGAGCAGCGTGAGTGAATTTTTTTGGCCAATTATAGAAGTAGCAGAATCAAGATGAAATAAGTTTGATTGTCTCCTGAGATGACCATGAATTCCTGAGTTTCTTATCAAAACAAAATTGGATTTCAGATCATGATATTATATATTATGAAACTTTAAGAGAATTTTTCTGTTATGGCACATAGATTATTTGTTGGGGTATCAAATAAGAGGCGATACATTACTTTCAGTGATTTCTTATAAAGTGCAGCTATTTTACTGCAATTATTTCTTGAACAAAAACACCAAACGACTGCGTATATGAGAATGAAGTACTATATTGAAAAGGGAAATTCTCAGATATAATTATGAACACAAAAAAATGGATATATTTATGAAGAAAAACATTGAGAATTCGCATATTCTCCATGTGATGAAAATATCATTTTTTTCTCGGTCTATTCGGCAGAAAACTACTACTACTACTTTCCATTTTTTTGTGTTCATAATTATATCTGAGAATTTTCCTTTTCAATACTTTCACCCAATCAACGGGTTCGAACTCGAACGATGGAAACTTGTTTTTTTTTATAGACCTCAATCGCAGATTCGTGATTAGGTTTTCTCAATTCAGAATTTTTTCCACATTCTGTATGATGAATGTCAATTTATCATACATCCAAAATATGAAGTACTAATGTTTATGATTTTTTTATCAAGTTTAGATAATTATAATTTCTGATTCATTCAAAAATAATTCATTACTTCGCTCGTTTGTTGCTTGATTCGATCCTCTATTTATTCATTCATCATTCGTTCTTTCGTTCGTTCGTCACTTCGAACATTCATTCCTCAATTCGTTCGTTAGTTCATTCATGCGTTCATGCATTCATTAATTTGGTCATTTCTTTCGTTCATTCGTTTGGGCATCGTTCATTATTTCGAACACTCATTCGTTTATTCATTCAGGAATTAATCAATTCGTTTGTTGGTTTATTCAGGCAATGAATTGATTGAATCATTTATTAATGCATTCCTGCATACATTTGTTCGTTCATTTATTAATTTGTTCGTTAATTCGTTTATTTGCTCATCTGATCTCTCTTTCGCTTTTTTTCCAACATTTATCATTTGTTCAATGAAATAATTGATTCGTTTGATCATTGATTCAAGCATTAATTCATTTATTCATCGATAGTTCAAATCACTTCATCATTCGTTCGCATCTTGAAATCTTTTATCTGTTTCTTAATTCATTCATTTGAAAGATTTGTTGCTCGTTTGTTCATACGATCTTTCAAACGTTTGTTCATTGAACAATTATTATTGATCAATTTGTTCCTTGCTTCATTCGAGCATTATTTCGTTTGTTCATTCAGCAAAAAATCAATTCGATCTTTAACCGCTCGTTTGTTCATACGGTCTGCTAAACGTTTGTCCATTGAAGCACTAAAGAATTGATCAAATATTTCATTGATCCATTAAAGTATTCTTTCGTGGAGACGCAACAGGAAATAACGAATATTTTCCCACTTACAAACACAACTCAACCCCTTCTTGCCCAATCCCACCAACATGTTCAGGCACAAGTTACAATAGGCCGGCCTGCTGAAGTGCTTCAAGCGCCACAGGTGGTTGCCGTCCTCTTTCACATTGGAATCCAACCCCAGGAGCACCAACAAGGGGATGGTGGTGAGGCCGCCCCTCTTCCACTCCTCCAAAGACACTGTGCCGTCGGCGTCGTAGTCGATTTCCACCATCATGTCCTGCAATATCTGGAAAACGGAATTTTTAGTTATTGCATGCAGTATATGTGATGTGTGCGATTTTCACGGAAGCGCTGAACGGTCAGTACCCAGCAAACATACAATTGCGGTAAACTGAAGGCCCAATACATTGCTCCCATAACTAGATGTTGCGGCAAAATGACTAGTGTTGGTACGAGGCCATCAAGAAAAGGACACTCTGGCCGACGGTTTCCCGACGGTTTCCCGACGGTCAATCTGCGGGCATTCATTTCATTGATGGGCTTCCAAATCCCCATACTGGCATAGGAACGAAGTATAAAAAATGTCTCGACTTTCGATGATAAGATTGCGATCTGATAAGATCTTCATTTTGGAGGTTGACCTCATACATTTTCGTGACTTGGTAGCGCTGATGGTCCATTCTCCAGGTGTCTTATCCATTCAGTCGTATTTTTGCAACCGCTATATCGTTGGAATATCCCTATGAGAACATGACTAGCTACTCGTATTAGTATCTAAACTCATGTAGTTAGTATCGGTGAAATGTAAACGAATCGAAACGGATAAGAGAATATTTCAAACTTATATATTTTGATGATAATATTTCAACTAGCACTTTGATATCCTGAGAGGAATAATCCATTATATCATTCTATTCGGATTATCTTGGACCCTTCTAGGAAAATATACAGTGTGCCTGAATAAATTAGAATCTTTTTCATTTTTAATTTTAGGAAAAAAGTCATTTGGAACTTTCGCAAGGTCTAAAACAAAAAATGCAAATATCAGATATCGATTTTTGTCAGTCGTATACGAGGTATCTGAAAAAAATGAATTTTGTTCAAGTGTAAATAATGTACCGTTTTTATTTTCGGTAATATCGAAAATTCTTATCATATAAAAAAGTCGACTAGAATTGAAAACTACGGAAAACTACGTTCAAATACCTGATAACATCTATTCACGATGAAAATCATGTAGCATCATTTCTTCCAATAACTTCTGATATATTTTCATATGACAAACTATTTAATTTTGCGGAAAAAAGCGAGAAAAAAGCATCATTCAATAGAAGTTCTTCAAAGTCTCAAATCGATAATGCAGATATCATACCTATATGCTTATCAATGTTTTGAGTCATATGTCAAAAAATCACTAAATTTCTGTAGACCATACTCACGACTTTATTGAAATGATCTTATATAATGATCCTATAATAATCCCATATTATGATTATCTTTAAATATGAAAAAAATCTTGGAACATAACATTTCAGGTTTTTAAGGAATATGTATGCTTTCATCGTTTTTTCTTTCGTATGATTGGGAGAATACTCAATGACCATATATAGTGTTATCTAGAACATAAAGGTTGAATGCCCAGCATTGGCCTTTTTAAAGATTGAGCAAACGAAGTTGCTGTATTTCCGGCAACACCAAAATCAATAAAACGATAAAGGGCCAACACTTATTTGCTTCACTGGCAAAGTGACTACAAGAATGTGAAAGGCCAACAGATTTTTGCCGCTGAAGTCATTTCCCCAGCAAAGGAAGCATTGGGCCAATAACTTCCCGGTAGTTCATTGTTTGTTGGGTATGCGTTTTACTTATCTTGCTTACTCGCTTGCTTATTAGGCTAGATCATCTTGCTTATTACGCAAGATCAGTTTGCTTATTAGGCTAGATTAGAGTCACTGGATGGTAAGTTAATACCATCTAGTGACTCTAGGCTACATCATCTTGCTCAATAGGCTAGATCATTCTGCCTACCAAGCAACGTATTGCTTAATAAGCTACATTATATTGCTTACTAAGCCAGATCGTCTTGTTTATTAAGCAAGAACATCTCGCTTCGAGCAAGATCTTGCTTATTAGGCATGATGATGATCTTGCTTACTAAGCAATATGATATTGCTTCTTGAGCAAGATGATCTAGCATATTAAGCAAGTTAAAAAAAACGCATACTGGCCCTGCAGCCCCTGTAGATTTTATCTCTGAAACGAATCATTTCATCAAGAAAGATAGCTTGTGGCGCTGGTTTAAAATACCTCCTGCTTATTAGGCTAGATCATCTTGCTTAGCCTGTCGGTACACATATGTACCAAGTAAGAATCACGCAAAAACTACAAGCAAATATTCATATTTTGTATGGTCCCTCAATATACCAGTAGGTAACTTTGATGCGCGGAGTTTCATTTGAGGTTATGTGGTAGTTATTTACTTGTGCCGGGCCACGTTCTACGCTCCGTTTTCAGTTAATTTTGACATCTGCAAAAAATTCATACATATCAATTGTACCCGCTCAAGGACTCTCAAAGACATACGGTACATATATGTACCATACCCCAACCACTTCTAATAAATAAGAAGTAATTGAAATTTCTATGTACAGGTTTTATTTGATCGCCACTGACATTAAACCGACCCATAACCCTTAAAACAAAAACTCGTCTCGAAAGGGTTAATAGGCTATAGATCATCTTGTTTATTGAGCTAGGTAGTTGCGACTGTGATTTCCTAGGTATCCTTTGAGCTATTAGACAATGTTTTGGGAGCATCATGAGATGCCCCATTTTCAGGATACCAAATCCCACGATGACTATTCGATTCCGGAGATTGCCGATCTGTGAAACGTTATTCGAAAAAATTACCCACGATTCCCTATTTTCAGGATGACCAAACGATCATGGAGATTGCCAAACAGTGCAGCGTTGCCATGATTTGAAAAAATTGCGGAAAACATGGATTTCCACTATTCACAATTCTCACATCTATGATTACTTTTATTCAAGGAATATATGGTTAACGAATTGACCTGCTTTCCACAAACACCCTGTGTACAGTATGTACGATTCAGATTCTTAACTCTTCTTTGTTAAAGGGGTTAAAATTTCCAAAACAACTCTAAGGCAACTTTTTCCGGAAAAGTGGATTATAATAGTGTCTACGCGTTTTATCAAAATTTCATGAGATAGAGAGAATGATCCAGAATGGATTATTAGCACAAAAAATAGCTGGAGAGTCATAGGCACAGCTACTGAAAAACAGGAGTGAAAGCAGATTCACTACTTCAGTCGAATTCTCGACAAAAACAGTTCGAAAAAGTGGTACACATCAACTGTTTCTCTGTTTTCTTATTTTTTTTGTCATTTTATGTACATCTCGATTATGTCAATTCAAGTAGGTAATATATTTACATTGTCATGTCATTAATAATCTTGAATGAATAGAATGATGTAATTTCAAACTAACCATGTTGTCGAGGAATCAATAGAACTCGATTGAATGATAAATCTTTCCATAGTGTATGCTCTAAAACGTTCGTCATTTGAAGTCAAACATCAACATTTTCCAACTTACCGGTTTGAGTTCGGAAATATCCCATCCCAAATATTCTGCTACTGTCATCATTTGATTGACTATGCAGTCCATTTCATTCTTGTCCAATACGCCATCTCCGTTGGTGTCATAGAGACGAAACATAACTAACAAAATAGAATAGTCATTTTCAAATTGGTAGAAGAAATACTTTTTGTAAATGAATCCATTTTTCAAATTTTATACGATCATATTTCATTTTTATAATATATTTTGAAATCTAACACCAAAATTTCACTAAAAAAAAAAAATCGACAGTACGGAATACTCACATTCCAATTTATCTTCAGGTCTCCCAGCTTCCAACAGCGAAAGATAACACACAATATCTTTTAGTGACACTTTGACTTGGTTCACATCAAGTACACTGGCTTTTCGTACAATGTGCCTCATTTCTGAAAACGAAAAGACTATATATAGCTACAGGGTGTTTGGAAGTTATAGAGACGAAAGACGTAATAGTTATTTATGTACCAAGTGCGTTACAAAATTTTTCCAAAATAGTAATATTAATTCACACTAGAGGACATTTGAAGCGGTAAACGTGACAACAAGGCGCACGAATTGTGGGCGTGGTCTTGTCAGTTCTCAGCATTCAGTACAATGTTGCCAAGTCTCCAACATTTACTGATATTTTGCTATGGAGTATATGGATTATCTGACCAATAACGAAACAGTATAAAAACTGACGTCACTATTTATTCGACGTATCACCAAATGGCGGCAATGACGGTACGTTTGAATGGCATAGATTCATTATTTACATATAAATGGCGTGAAAAGTGTTTGAAAATACTAATTTAGGTCCCTGTAACGACACAGTGAAGTGATTGTATATCAATAATTCATAATCAGTCCACTCGCCCGTTGATAAATTGTTTTTTTCTAAGGAAGCTTCTAGACTAGAATCAGCTGATTAAAGCCGTATAACTTCTTTTCTTTGGATAATTCTACATCAAAATATTTAGAGAGGCACATCGAATTAATAAAACCCATTAGCCTGTCTTTTTCGCTATTTCAGGTATTTTTCTTGAATATTCTTCGAAGCAAACAAGAGCAATATGTCGAAAAAATTTCATCCTACCTTCGAGTTTCCCGTTATTAACTAGAAGAGAGTTATTGGATTTCTTCGAGGAATTCCGGGATATCTGACTGTGTGAAGGCGACGAATCCGTACTTTTTTTGCCCAAAACGTCGTGACAAGAATAAGACGTGTGGGTAACTGTGAGCATCGGATGGACAGTTCCTGAAAAAATTAAATAAAATAATGGTCCCGTTAAACAAAAAACAAAACCATTCACACACAGAGTTCTGATGAACATCATGGGTACGAAAATACTCCGTTTCCGAGTTACAGGGTGTTCAGAAAAAAAAAAACATTAACCTTGTTTCAAGCCTCATCATATTCTGGATTCAATACAGGGTGATTCATTGGAAAATGCACATACAGTAAGGGTAGATGGAGGACACCCAGGTGCTTCTCAATAACCCATATTTCATGTGTCTATCATTCTTTATATCCGAGATACATGGTGATTTAGTGATTTCCCCCATTTTTTCAATTAATCATAATTCATGAACCACCCTATACAATTTGTTGATATTTGGTTTGTATGTTCCTTGTCTACAGTGGTGTCGATTGGCATAATAATAAGTTTTGTTCTGGGCCGGCCTTGAAAAAATGAATGAGTAGGTTTCGAGTCGAAACAACACCCTATATATATATCAATATTTTTGAATCTCGTTTACAAATTTGGAACGATCAGAAGTAGAAGAAAGTAGAAGAAAGTAGAAGTATGACTGAAATTATTTGGTGTTTCCGCATACCATTTTTTCACCTATTAGCTTGAGTCAAATTTATAGCTTTCATTAATGAGCTGGCACAAAATTGAAAAAAAAAAGTTGTGCCCAAATGGCATTTTTCCATTTTTAATCCATAAAATAATCAACTATTTCTTATTCTCCTGATTTTTGGATCCCCACCTTATTGAAAAACAAGAGGACAAGTCCGTATTCGGGAGAAAACAGATATGAAGTACCTACTAAATTTTGTTTAGGTTCATTCTATCAGCCTTATCATTTACGACATGACCTTTCCGAACACCCTGTATAGTGCCACTCAAGGAAGTGATGTTACGAACACAATGTGGGGCTGTTTGGGACATGTACAATTCGATTGACCTCTATAAAATTTGTAAAAAAATGCCCAACATAATGTTGGTACGTTTCCTCTGTATTTGCTGTTTTTTGTGATCGTTAAGCTGTGAAATTTCGTTAGATTGAACTTTTTCGCTCGATAGAAACGAGTTTCTTGAGCAACGCAAAAACTGTGAATCGTGAAGAAAAACGATTATGGAAAATACAGGTGAAGTGGAACAAATTAAAACACAAACGAAATATTAACTTCTGAATATAAGTAGCTTTCGCTACATTGAAATGTAAAATTTTCAGAAATTTACAGTTCTGGTTTTGAAGTGCGTATAATGTATTAACAAATTATCAGTAGTTTTTTATTTTATTCATAAGAAATAGATATAGTCTCGACATGTTAATGATATGATGTTTATACAGAGTGTACCTAAATAACACCGCAAAAATTCAAGGGATGATTAATTGTGATATTTTAGGAGATAAAGTTTATTTAAACATGTGTCCTAACGTGCTTCGTTTTCGAGATACAGGGTATTAATATTTCCATGAAAAAGTTTTTTCATTTATTACTCAATTGTCTTTTCATCAATTTCAATAAAACTGTGGTTTTGTTAATATTAATATGGAGCTTTTTTGGTGCAATTAGATTAGAAATGATATTTCCAGTGGCGTTACAGTGGGTAAATTTATCGATATTTATGGTGAACGACATTGTACAGGATGATTCACCATAAATGTCCCCTCCTCTAGCTCAGTTATTTTTGTACGGATTTAAAAATTTGAAATATCATCTCAAATGATTTTCGATAAAGTTTTTTTCCGCTACATCAAAAAATACAGGGTGCTCGGAACAAATGATCTACAGGGTACTATTTGATATTTTTTAATGGAACACCCTATTTTTCATTGTATTTTTAGATTCTGCCTGATGAAGAGCTGATTTGATCAATGCATCACACTTGGGGTCTAGCGAGAATGATTACAAAGATATAGGGTGTTCAAAATCAAGATTTTATAACTTTAGAATTTTTTTGTGACGAAACTATTCATTATCGGTCAAAACGGCTTCCATGTCCGTATCTTAACTTCTGATTTACTATCCACTGACATTTAATGATTGGAACAGATACAGGGTGATCAGAATTCTGAATCTTGAACCACCCTGTAAATGTTCCAATTAAATGCCAGTAGATAGTAAATCGGAAGTTGAGATGGGGACATAGAAGCCGTTTTGACCAATAATGAATAGTTTCGACACAAAAAAAATCTTGAAGTTGAAAATCTCGATTTTGAACACCCTATATTTCTGTAATCATTCCCGCTAGACCCCAAGTGTGATTTATCGATGAAATCAGCTCTTCAGGAAGAATCTAAAAATACAATGAAATTCAGGGTGTTCCATTTGAAAAAATCAAGTAATACTCTGTAGATTGTCTGTTTCGAGCACCCTGTATTCACCGATGCAACGGGAAAAAAAATTCTGAAAAATCATTTCAGATTATTTTTCAAATTTTTGAATCTGTTCAAAAATGAGTGAGCAAGAGGGGGGGACATTTATGGTGAATCACCCTGTACGCCACCGGTTTTTCTGAATTTTATATTTTTATTGGATTGAACTATTGAAATTACAACTTTTTTATTCTTTGTGTAATTTTTGTATTCAGCTTAATTTTTGGGAAAATAATAAAAATTCGATTTGAAATTTTGGGGCTCTCTCAGTCTCCAAACATACTGAATTTTGGCACCATGAAAGCTCATACAGGGATGTTATAAATAAAAACAATCAATACTTCCAACTTCAACATCCTGTATCTCAAAAACGGAGCTAGTTAGGGCAATTTTTTCGGTGTTGTTTAGATACACAGGGAAGAATTTAACTGGAATAAACTCGCTAGCGGGGAGGCGAATATGTTTTCTAAAAATTACCGACATACGTCAACGATTCAATGTATTTATACCTACATTTTCCAAGCAATATCCAGAATATATCCCTTCAGAAGTAGCTGATACCACCCAAAACATCTTTTTTCCAAATGCAATCCTATGGCTCGTGACTCCTCATTGGCAAGCTCAGCGTACTGGTTAAATATTAGTTCTTTGTACAGTCCTCTTCAGAGAACATGTCGCACATGGACGGTGTCAGCTCTCTTTATCACCGCTGCATTTAGAGCACGCGTGTACATTTAAGGGTTGGATAAAATTAAAATGAAATTTTCAAACTCAATCTATTTTCAACGTACTGGTACTGGTACTGGTACTGGTGAGGGACGTTTCCACGTCAGCAACTAGTCCCCAATGGGACCTTTTTGCCAACCCCAAGTGTTTTCAATGACTGATGTGGTTCGCTCAAGAGAGCTGGCTAACATCCTTTTCAGGCACCGCCCATCAGCTCTCTTTTCAGAGTTTTTCAGCTGTGTTTTGTAGGCTAGTAATGTACTCACTACCATATGCGCAGTGGCAGGCCTGCTAACTATCATCGTTAACCCCCGAGACCGAGGTCTACTTAAGCAGCTGGCCCGCTCTCACGCTCAGCTGGTAGTTTTCCACACCCACCTACATACACGTAGGCTAGTAATGTACTCACTACCATATGCGCAGTGGCAGGCCTGCTAACTATCATCGTTAACCCCCGAGACCGAGGTCTACTTAAGCAGCTGGCCCGCTCTCACGCTCAGCTGGTAGTTTTCCACACCCACCTACATACACGTAGGCTAGTAATGTACTCACTACCATATGCGCAGTGGCAGGCCTGCTAACTATCATCGTTAACCCCCGAGACCGAGGTCTACTTAAGCAGCTGGCCCGCTCTCACGCTCAGCTGGTAGTTTTTCCACACCCGCCTACATACACCGTCCTACTTCTTCTCTGATGCTCACAACCACATCATCATATCTTTCTGCGTGTTCTGTGTAGGCTTTGTTACTAACTCCATGCGCCACTTTAGGAGCAGCACTGTTAATTGGAACGCAACAGCGAATCGTGCAGGACTATCCCCAGCCGATGCTCCGAAACTTTACAATATTTAATTCGTAAATAAAATATTGAAAAAAGTTCCTTGCCCGTGCTGGAAATCGAACCCACGACCTTGCGGTCGTGAGACGGACGCTCTTCCACTGCGCCAATCCCGGCCTTATTTTCAACGTAACAATTGCTCAAAATGTTTGTTGAATAATTGATTGCGATTTTCTGCCACAACTGCTATCTGCTATTGTATTCCAACGTTTTTATAGAGCCGCAAAAATACATTTATCTTTTATGCCGTATTCACAGTTCGAAACGAAGATGCCTTATATCACTGTCACTATGATCGAAAATTTTGATGAAAATTTATTGAACCTTGAAATTATATGTATTTTGATTTTATGCGACACCCAAACGTAGGTACTGCAAACTGAAATTTGATCAGTACGCTGGATTCCTGTTTCAGCCAGCGTTCCAATGAGGTTACATTTGAAAAAAAACATGTAGGGTTTGTTTGTTTGTTAACGTGTCTCGCGAATTTTCAGAAAAATCATCCACCTCCCATTCCAGTTCAAGTCTTCACCCTGTATCACGTATTGGTTTGAGAATCATGGAAACAACACATACCAGTTTTTCCTCTGGTAGAACAATCGCTATCTGATCTGTGGTGTCCAAGTAGTTTTTCTCCAATACCTTGTATTTTTTCGACGATCATTTCTCCGTACGAAGCTGGTTTTTCTTCAGCGTGCCTGAACTGACAGTCTCCGATTGAATTCACGTTCGGTGTAGAACCTGAAAAAAAAACAGATATCGTGTTTTCAATCGAAGGAATAATATTTTCTTTGAAAAAAAGGCTCTAACGTTTCATATACACTGATTCTTCGGCCCCAAAATATCCAGGCAAGTGCCATTCCTCCAACCTCATCAAAACTTCTCTGACCACCCTGTATATATTTATGTATCAGGGGGCGTAAAATACGCTTTTGTGAACGGCAGCGTGTAAGTAAAAGCCTAGAATGAACAATCTTAGACTTAATAAATCAAAGAATGCTTCACTCTATTATGCTCCAGAATTTTATAATAAACTACCACACCATATTAGGGATTTCACAATCAATGAACTCAAACTTGTATTGAAAGATTACTTGATTAAGAAAGCCTTCTACAGCTATGATAAATTCCTTAACAGCAGAATCGAGATATCTCGTAAACCAAGCAAAATTTAGAAAGAAATGTGGTGAGAAAAAAGATAGATAATTAATTTTGTTATTCAAGTAGATATTAAAATATGGTCAGTGGCGTACTCAAAAAAAGTTCTATGGATTTTCTCCAATCAAAATGCTAAATTTGTATCTCCCTGTATATCGATTGCACTGAGACCTGTTATCTATGCGCACTTCTTATAGTTGACTGCCCTCCAAATTTCATATCATTATCTCTCAAGGATTTTGAAATATTCAATAAAATCTGAAAAAAAAATCCATTCATCGCCATCTCACGGCCCAACGGTGCATTTTCGTATAGAGGTAAGTATTTTAAACTCGAGTTCACCCTGTTGAATTTTATGTACGTTGATCTGGGATACCCTGTATAGGGGTGGGACTTTTAAATGGATAACCCTGTACATACTCGATCGGTGGATTACACTGTAGCTTTTCCCCTTGAAATCCACATGTCAATTAGTGCTGAACAAAAAAGTGTATTTTTCAGGTATCTTCACCCTCATTATGTTTCCATGCGGGGCATGCTATGAATGCAATCGGAATTAACACGTTTCATCATCAGTGATTCTGTGAAATGGCATCAGTTGATGGAAATCGAAAATTATTGTTTGGGGCCGAGCGAAACGTACTGTAGTGATGTAGAAGTGGAATTTTTCGATCAGCTTCATCATCGATTTTCTCCAATATGAAGCCAATTCAGTTTTGTACGGATGCTGCGAACAAACAATTAGATATACTGAAATACTATTGGATTCTCCATATAATGGGATATCCAGAAAGTCTATCAGTATGGACTATGGACCGATACCAATCTCTGAAATTAGTGAAGATGAACATTAAATTTTAGGGTCCTAGTTACGCTGAGGTATTCAATGTTTGAACTATCTTATACAAAATGATCGATATGGGCTTTCCTGACGATCCGATTCAGTTGATGTGTTCATTTCTGAAGAATCGAACTTTTCAAGTAAAACTTGATGATCAACGATCTGGTATCAAGCCCATTGAAGCTGGTGTTCCTCAGGGTGCAGTTTTATCTTCGCTGTTGTACAGTATACATACTAGCGATTTGCCGAGACCAGTGAAGGGCAAGATGTCGCTTTTTGCTGATGATACGGCAGTTCTAGCATATTCGACAAATTTCGATCAAGCAGCTATGAATCTCCAAAGCGCTCTAAATTCTCTTCAGGAGAACTTCCTATGATGGAAGATCAAATTGAATCCTACAAAAACACAATTGGTCGCACTCGGAAGAGAGCGGAGGCCTCTCAGAACCAGAATAGTCATGGATGGTCACAAGTTAAATACATAGGTGTGTGCATTGACAAAAAGCTCACCTGGGCCCAGCACATTGAACAGCAAGTTTCAAAAGCTAAACGAGCCATTGGAGCCCTGTATCCATTTCTAAACAGACGAAGTAAATTGGGTTTGAGACAAAAATTGAATATTTATATCATGGCTATCAGGCCAATTTTACTGTATGCCTCAGTAGTCTGGGGCCACACAGCTAAATCTCATATATCACCAGATTACAAACATTACAAAACAAAATCGCGAGAATGGTGACAGGATCTCCTTGGTATGTTTGGAATAACCAGATCGCCAGGGATCTGAAACTCCCTTCAATCGTGTCAGTCATTAGAGAACGAAACATCAAGACTTTCGAAAAAGCTGAGGTTCATGAGAATCAGCTTCTTCGAAATGCAGTTGATTATGACCCAGGTGATCAATCAAAGTTCAAAAGACCGAGATCGTCCATAAACTAGAGAAAATATCGACATTATGACCAAATTTGCTATTCTCAAATTTTTGATATTTATTTATTCCGTTCGATCTCTTCAATTCTCAGAATATATTTCTGAAACTTATTTGGGGCAGAATAAGGGCTGTTCGCATCAAACTTCAATACCGTTTCTGTTTTGTTCCATAATAGATATCAGGAAAGAGGAACTCTTCCTTGGTCTGAATAAAATAAAAGAAATAAGATCCAATATATATATATATAATATACAGGGTATGTCACGACGAGCTTATACTCTCTCTATACGAGAATCAGTCGGGAGAAATAGAATACGCTCTCTTCATTCGAAATATTTTAAGCAATGCAGTGTTGCCGCTTGTATCAAAAAGTAGGAACAACTTTATTATTTCAAATAGAATACCCTGATGTATTTTATTGCCTTCTTCAATTTTTCCTGTACTGCTGATTTCATCGATGTAACACATTTGGGGTCTATCGAACATGATTACAGAGATATAGGGTGTTCAAAATCGAGATTTTTCAACTTTAGGATTTGTTTGTGTCGAAACTATGCATTATCGGCCAAAACGGCTCACATGTCCCTATCTCAACTGTTGATTTACTATTTACTGATATTTATTCGGAACAGATACAGAGTGATCAAAAATCAAAAGTTGAGATAGGGACATGTGAGCCGTTCTGACCGATAATGAATAGTTTCGACACAAACAAAACTAAAGTTGAAAAATCTCGATTTCGCTATATCTCTGTAATCATTCTCGATAGACCCCAAGTGTGACACATCGATGAAATCAGCCCTTCAGGTAGAATCTAAAAATACGATAAAATACAGGATGTTCCATTTGAAATATCAATGTTGCTACTTCTTTCTAGTAGATGCGGTAACATTGCATTGACAAAATTATTTCAAATGAAGAGAGCGTATTCAGAAATATGCGCATGCACATTTTTGAAATACAATCTGCTGTGAAATATTCTAACCGAATACGAGAAGAGGATGCATTTTTTTCGGAAATGTTTTCTCTTATACTCAGGATAATTTTCAAAATATTCATGAGCGAGGAAAAATTCCGGAAATAATGCAACCTCTAGTGATATTACAAGTGGAAAATCATGTGAAATTGAATTGAAGAATAGTGTTTATTGCGAGTTATTGAAAACGTTAACATCTGGAACACCCTGTATAATTCATGGGAATTCTAATAGTAAAAAAATCAATTAGATGTCAAAGTTAACTTTTGAACATAATGTGAATTTTCAGAAGATAGGTAAATATATCATAATTGTTTATTTACTTCACCAACTATGAAAATAGCGCTGAAAACATCGAATGAAAATTACCGATTTATGTGAACGTTTATCAGTCATATACCGGATAATACTTACAGAAAGACGTATTGTTTGTTCTAAGTTTCATTGATATCCGCAGACGAAGTTTGCGTTGGACCAGTGCCAGCCTTTTGAAATAGCCGACCGATCACTATAAAACATGTCGAGCATAGTGAATGGACCATGAAAGGCCTTATCGTTCTTTAATTCATTCACCTATAGTCCAGTCATTATAGACTTTGACCCGTGAATAATTTTTTAGTGTTTTTTTTTCATAGATGTCTCGGGGGGGTCACTGGGAGTGTAAATTCAAAATGGCGACCAAATCAAGCTTTTGCGTATGTTCGAAAACTGTTTTTTTTGTTGAAAAACGGTTTTTCTTCAATAACTCGGCCATTTTTGATTCTACAGAAAAAGTTTGGAGACAAAAATTGTAGTAAATTTGGTTCTCTACAAGTTTGGTCCTTACAATTTTTCTGATAGGATCGATATTTTGTAAATTAAACCTGAAAAAAGCGACAAAATTCAAAATATTGTCACTATCTCGTTTATTTTCAACTTTACGGCATAAATGAACAGAAACAAACTTGTAGAGAATCAAATTTTGGACAAATTTTGTCTTCACCTGTTTTTCCGAAAATCGATATTTTCGGAATTAAACCTAAAAAAAACGACTCATTCGAAATATCATCATTATCTCGTTTATTCTCAACTTTACACCATGAATGAGAAGAAACAAACTTGTAGAGAATCAAATTTTGGACAAATTCACCTGTTTTTTCGAAAATCGATATTTTCGGAATTTAGGAATTGAGGCGTAATATGCACTTCCCAAAGAGGTCTTAGAAGGATATTGAAAGTATTGTTTTTGTTCTTTAGTGCCCTTTCTTTGTTTGCCCCACCACAACGTCTCATGCTTACGTCACAATACGATGAATTCTGATTTGGTTTAGATTTTGTTCTTCTTGTTCGCAATTGGCATTCGCGTTTGCAGCGTGTCACGCTTACATCACGCTGCTAACGAACAGAAAGGAATTTGGTGAAGTTTATTGTGTTAGAAGACTTATTTAGTTTGTAATAATGACCATCAGATGCAAGATGTGTTGTTCGGTGTCTCGGTGTAATCAATATATAAAAGTACGAATTCATCAATACACACAGCTTCTCCGCAGTTGCAAAATTATGCATTGTGGAGAACATTTCAAAAAATGGGAAACCTATTTCCAATTATATGTCTGTGTGTAGTTAGCACTACTCAGAAACCGATTAAGAAGGTAATTTCATATCAAGAAAATATTTTTATGTTCAATCTATTTTTAATGCATTTTTTCATTCAAGGGAAATGGAATCCTAATGCAAAAGTTCATTTTGACAAAAGGCTTCAGAAACGTACCTCGAAAATGGTTTTTTACAGCAATTTAATGTGCGCAAGACGCGTTGAAAATGTTCTGTTGTGTCCATGAAAAGGCTTCAAAAAG